GCCCCGGTCCAGGAGGATCCCACATGCCGCACAGCGGCTAGGCCCGTGGGCCATGGCCGCTGAGCCTGCGCGTCCGGAGCCCGTGCTCCGCAGCGGGAGAGGCCACAGCAGTGAGAGGCCCGCAGACCGCAAAAAAAAAAAAAAAGAGTCCACTTTTATTTCTCTAAGTGGGTAGTTTACAATTGAGGGAGAAATCAGTTTACAACTGGTCACCAAAATCATTTTTCTGGGAAAGGAAAAAGTATCTCAAAAAGGAGACCATGTGCATGACTTTTAAAAACATATACCTTCCCCATAGAAGACTACTTGCATTTAAACTTTTGGACTTTGATATCCTACTATCAAATTTGGGTTTGGGTAGACAATTACTTTAATATGTCATAACTTTGTATTCAGTGCTCTTACAAGTATAGTTAATCTGTACGGGTAAAATTAAGCTAAGCCTTTATAAAGGTGCAAGTACCCTAAGACTTCTAAAGTAGGCAATTTAAAAAATGTAAAGTTAGTATGCTAACACATATATGGAATCTAAAAAAAAAAAATGGTTCCGATGAACCTAAGGACAGGACAGGAATAAGGATGCAGATGTAGAGAATGGACTTGAGGACACAGGGAGGGGGAAGGGTAAGTTGGGACGAAGTAAGAGAGTAACATTGATATATATACACTACCAAATGTAAAACAGATAGCCAGTGGGAAGCAGCCACATAGCACAGGGAGATCAGCTCAGTGCTTTGTGACCACCTAGAGGGGTGGGATAGGGAGGGTGGGAGGGAGGTGCAAGAGGGAGAGGATACGGGGATACAAGTATACATATAGCTGATTCACTTTGTTATACAGCAGAAACATTGTAAAGCAATTATACTCCAATAAAGATGTTAAACAAAAAGATAAATATAAAAAATAAAAAATGTAAAGTTATACATCTCTGTCCTCAGTTTTCCCCCTTTTATCTTAAGAAGGAAAAAATAGCAAACTACAAGGCAATGTGATAAAACAGTCACTTGCCAAAATCTGATGGCATGGTCCTGATGGTATAAGATCCTCTCCTTTGCTGCAAAATGAATTTACAAAGCTCTGCCAGTTGCAATGGAATTGAACTTATTCTAAATAACTTCTCTAATTAATCACTTCACAGATGTGGAGGAAACCTAAAGAATAAGCCAAAATTATTAAATACTTCTACTGCCAAGCCCAGAACTCATGTATTTCCTGGAAAAGTAGAATAAACAGAGACCCTTTGGATTATGTATAATTAATTTATTTTAAAACATGGAAACTAAACTGATGTCAGTTCAATTCTGTACGGGTTAGAAGTTAAACACGAAATGACAATTTTCTTCCTAGGGTTAGAAAATGAACACCAACCAAATGACACTAGCTAAATTGTAACAAAGGCTTTCTTGAGATTTGTTAACAAATGAGAGAAATTAAGCTCAAAATTGGCTACTTAACTCCTTAATCATGCACACAGGCCTGTTCAGTATATCACACAGTGTTTTTCCTTCCTGCCAATTAATTTGGCATTCATTAAGCACTGAGTGAAACTGAAGGATGATGATCTCCTTGGGCTAGTATTTGCGTGGCAGACAGCTCAGATATCCAAACTAACCGCTGTGAATGCTAGCATCCCAGATGGTACGGAGCTGTGTTGCAGCAAGAGCTTAAACTCCATGAAAAAGCAAGTCCCCTGGGAGCCCAAAAACTGCATGTTAAAATGTTTTATTGCTGGTTTTCCCTCTGAATCCTTATCAAGGAATTGGCTGTACGTAAGAAACTGCTCACCTAGTTTAAGAGCTAGAGCCCATTACACTGGGTTTTCTGTTTCCAGATCTCTATCAGCTACTTGGGAGACAGTGAGGAAAGCAACTAACCAAGAAATGCTGCTTTCCAAAGACTATTCAGAACCGAGCTTTGAACCCTCTGGATAGTTTTCTCAGCACTGCTTTAAATTAATTTAGGGTTAGAAATGAAGAGCTTTCTTTCTCATTTAGATCTGTGGACCTTCAAATCCATGAGCAAAAAGCTCCTATTTTTCCTTCTTTAACATACCCTCATTCTCCTCTCTAGCTCTGTTCCTGAGGTTCAATACCTCGAAGTGAAAATGCCACAGACAGGCAAAACAGAACATTGTGTACAAATGTCTAATATTGTGTACAATAATTCACTGAGACTAAACAGCAGATAAAAAGGTAAAAAAGAAGACAAATTAGTTCATAATTACAAGTGATGTCTTACAACTGGTCTACTTCCCTACTAAACATTGCCCCCCTTTTTTGTTGTTGACCCTATAGCTCTCAGATAACATCCACATAACATTCTGTTTTCAATCAAGCTAGGCAGTGTTTGAGGACATGACAGTATATATTTGTAAATCTTATTTCCAAATAATAACTATTGTGGAAGATAAACTAGAACTACCCTTTGATTTTCAGGTTTTTAAGTTCTGAATTGGGATCCAGTTCAAGATCTATAACTTCAGAGTTCTACCTAACAGAAAACACATAGTGATATGGTTTCCCACAAGGGCATCTCTCTCTGCCCCACGAGAAAACCTGGTTTACCATAACCTCTAATGACTCCTTAGGTTAAGTGCTATAAATCTATTGTCAGAGGATTTAGCTAAGAAAAATAAAAAAATAATGGAAACAATTCACAGTATTTGTGGGATAGGAAGAAATCAAGGTTTAAAAATTATGTATAAATCTCTTAAGATAGCAGTTTTTCTGAAAGATAAAAAGAGCATCTTGTGAAGAAATCAATAAACTACAATCATGAGTCCTCCCCATCAAAACAAACGGTGGCGACATCATTCAGCTGATCTAGGTGGCTCCTAACTATTTCAACAAACTTTGAAACTTCCATCTTCAGCTGAAACACCTCTAGACTAGAAGTTTTGGGCAGCCAATGTCATTTCAGCATTAATACAAATCACAGGGAGATGTAGGCCATAGTGAAAAATCACAAAAGAATAATGTTATTTGACTAATAAGGAATACAAAAATTTTGAGTGGAAGAACCCAAAGATCTAATCTACAACTACTGTCATATGCAGACCCTCTATGATTACCCCTCTAATAACTATGAACTCTTCCTGAGGGAGCCTGCATATCTTAGATTAAGGACTATCTTAAGAATTTAAAACAGTGAAAGTTCAGGCCAGAATTTCTGCAAAAGGATGAAATTACATATGAACATGTATTTTTTAAGAAAAGAAGGGTTACAAAGGGTATATTTTTTTACAGCTAGATGACGTTGCTTAAAGTACACATTGTAATGATCCTCTCTCATAGAAATCACTTCAAACCGTAATTCTCAACTGCTTTGCAACATTCAATCAGCTAGAGTTAACACAACATTCACGCAGGAAAAAATTAAATGACCCACAATTACCCAATGAATTTCATATTGTGTTAAGAATAATTATAGGGTAACTCCTTCCATGACACTGAGTTTAATTCAGAAAATAAAATCAGAAACATACTCCTTTCTAAGTGCTTTTTGATTCATTAAGCATCATTCTCAATCTCTCACCAATGATTAAGTACCTCAAACTAGTTTTTTGTTTATAGATTTTAAAACTGTTTTATTACATGGAACTCTGTTAATGTATCTCTAAATAGCACTTTTAAGGCAGATGTGAAAAGATCCACTACAAAGATAAGCTAGCAAACCATTTATATTCAAGACATAATTCACCAAAGAATGCAGTTTACAATCTTAAACAAATCACTGAGCTCTAAAGCCAACAAACTTTTCTTTGATAAATCAGTGTATTAACTTTCTAATGTTTTCTATCAGTTTTTACTTATTAGACATAGATAAGTCAGTTTTAATGAAAACCAGGTCTGAAAAGACAATCTTGCTAAAGGTTAATACTGTCAGCTTTAGCACAGAGTTAGGCACCCAAATCTGAATTCTTTTGCTTCACAGATTGATATATGTGAATTAATCAAGCTGGCCACATGAGGTCTCTGTCATTCCACAAAATGCAACTGCATTTTCAAAGTATCTTGCAAATCAGATAATTAATTTCTCATGAGGTATAAGCACTGAAAATGTTAGAGATCTAGTTTACTTCTAGTTTAAATTATTTCTAGTTTATTATTCTGGAATAATATATTCCACTGGAAAAAGGAGAAATGGGGATGAAACTGAAGCTAGGGATAATGACACTGAGCAAATTGTACCCCACTAACTAATGCATCTAAAACCAGGTGTTTCAATCTGGGGCTCACTAAGCTAGAATGAAATAATTTTTAAGTAGTAAAGCATAGATATTTGGCTACTTAAACAATGTATGTAAATACCAAATTAAATTATAATATAGTGCTGGAATACTTGGAAATACATGTGCTCCTCACTAAATATATAAACAAGTTTCATATCAGGGTTCTGATGTTGAAAGTGAGCAATGTGTCAATCTTGGTCACGGATAAAATGAAGCCTATATTCTCCTGCAATCATTACCAGCAATGCCTCATTAAAGGCCCAGGGTACAAATTTTGATTTACCTAGTCAATAACTTCCTAAATACAGTCTATGTCACTTAAGCAACACTAAACAGTTTGCTATGACTCAACCCCATTTAAACATGTTAGTGAAAAAAAAAAATTCTGTAAGTGAAGAAAAGGGAAAAGGTTCCACTTAAAGTGAGGAAAGATGAAATTAGAACAAGCATGTTTAGAAAACAACCAGTAGAGAGTCAGAGAAAAATAAGAACAAACAAAATCACTGAGTTCAAGAACTGAGTTTCCTCCAAATATGGAATCTAAGGAACGGAAAAAAATGACCCAAAAAAGCACTATAAAAATAAATGGTGGGGCTTCCCTGGCGGCGCAGTGGTTGAGAGTCCGCCTGCTGATGCAGGGGACACAGGTTCGTGCCCCGGTCCGGGAGGATCCCACATGCCGCGGAGCGGCTGGGCCCGTGAGCCATGGCCGCTGAGCCTGCGCGTCTGGAGCCTGTGCTCCGCAACGGGAGAGGCCACAACAGTGAGAGGCCCACGTACCGCGAAAAAAAAAAAAAATGGTGGAGGGAAGCAGAATTTCATTTGGTTATGGTTTTTGAAGTGCCAGAATTCACAGTGAGCAAAACTAGAGCTTTTACATTTAGAAACTCTTATCAAGTTCTTTCCTATCAACCTGTTTCCATGAAATGAGTTCAATAGGCTACAATATTAGCGATATTAATATTTTATGTTCTTGACTGTCAAGGAAATTTTTTAATGAAACTGCCTAAGTATGTAGGTAGATTCTATTTGCTCACTTGTAAAGTCAACTGGTTATTCTGCAGCTACACAACTTGGTACTTACTGAATTACGTACTATATCTTTCACAAGGTAAGAAACAAATTTAATTGTTTAATAAATCACTACTGATCGATTTGGGATGCTTGGAAAGCCAAGCAGCCCAAGATTCAAGCCTAGAAGTAGGACAAACATACTTCTGTCCTTCCCCCAAAGACGAGAAACCATGCAATAATGACAGACTGAAGAAGGACCTCAAAGTCTCATTCCTATACATGAGACTTTTCAAAAGTGCAATTCAATTTCTTCTTTCTTTGGTAAGGCCTAATCTTGCTACTCGGGGACACAGTAAATTCTCTAAAGTCATTCACTTGGAAGAGCCACTGGACTGATGGACATTTATTATACTTAGTCTGCTTTAAGCATGGTGGGTATCAGTTGCATACAGCACACTTTTTGAGCAAATGTAAGCACTGGCCAGGTTTAAATTTCCTATGCTGCATTCCACAGCACCTCATGGAACCATACATACCACCACTCCTCACAAAAAAAGGAACAGTGGAAAAGCCCATCTGCCTTTCTTTTAGTTTAATAAAAAATATTTGCACCATTATTTTTTTCTCCATTAAAAAAGCCTGGTCTATGTGTTTAATGAAATGCCTGTCAGCTGTATTCCCCTGGACAACTACAAACCATTATTCTTTAAAATATCAGTATATAGAAGCAGATGTAGGGAGCTAATGTGTATGAAAATAAACAAAAACGTAGCTCTGGAACCCATCCTCCCCAATGAAAATGCTACAAACAGATAGCACACGGAAGAAACTGAAGCCCTGGTCCTGCACAGCTCTAGCAGGGGAAAGAGTCATTTTCTTCCAAAATTACTACAGAGATATCAATGAACATGCTAATCACAACTAGAATCCTCCTGCTGGTAATTTTGAGAGTGGCTCTTAAAGGTTCTGAACTATATTCTCTCCTCAGTTTAAGGTTTCTGTGACTCAAAGCTTTGTAATATCCACTATAAAATATATCATTATAGAAATACTATATACCAATCTCAGATAAGTGTGGGGATCAATCTCAGGTTTCACTTTTTAGTTCTATGACAAGGAGCGTAAATTAGAGCCCTCTGTTCCTCCTACTGTTTAATGTAATACAAGACTCTAGTCAACAGAGACACATATATCACTTAAACATACATCAATTGCCCTACAGGACTATACACTGTTAAGAATGAAGAGGTAAACAAATGATACATATCACTTACAAGCAGCTGTGTGATTCAAGATAAAGTGAAATGGGAAGAAAGGAGAAAGAAGAAAGGCCAAACAACCCAACAACAAAATTCCAATTCTTGTAGCACTGAGTCTGTGAACAGTGCTTACTTGCCCCAATTTTATAAAAATGAAATAAAAATCAGAAAAGGGTATACTGCCTGATTATTTTTTCTTTTATACTCATGAATTCTTAAAAGTTAAAGTAATAATATATATATATATATATATATTTAAATGGAAAGTATACCAATTTCACTTTATTAGCCTAATTTCGGAATGGGATGAGGACTATGGGGTTGAGGTCAGGTGTGAAGGAAGAGGGTTAAAATTTGTGACAGCAAAGATCCCTTCAAAATTCTGGTGCAGTCCTCAGTCACTGCAGCCTAATTGTCAGTCAATAGAGTTGAAATCCAGAATACTGAAAGCAGACTCCTGTGCTCCATTTCTGTCCAGGTACTCTTCGGTCACAGTGTGATGAGGTCCACCAGGTTGCCTTTAGGAGGAGTCATGCTGTCAGGAAAGAAATTTACTAAGGTGTCAAAGAGCTGAGTTCTTTGAGCATAGGTGTGATCCACATCGGAAAAGCCTGGTGAAGGAGAGATATAAAGAAACTCATCCACTGTGTTTAAAACTCAACATGTAACAGAAAACCTAGTTGAGAAAAGCAGCAATGTATAATGGAAAAACCAAAACCAAATCAGGCTTTGAAACCAGACAGACATGGGTCCTGATCCCAGTTCTACTACCTAGCAATGGTATGATCTTAGGTAAGGTAATCAGCCTTTCTGCAACTGTTTCCTCAGCTATAAATCTGTGATAATCCTGTTCACGTCATAGGTTTACGGTGCAGATTAAATGCAATTATGTGAAAACCACCTAGCAGAATGACTAGTACTTTAGTAACTAATATTGATTTCTCTTCTTTTCCTTATAAGCATTTTCCTCTTCTAGTCCACTGAGGAATTTTCATTCCTCTTTTCTGACTTTTTAATGCTTTTGAGCAGTAAAAATTTTTTGATAATAAAAATATAATCAAAATGAAAGAGGTCTTTAGAAAGTAGTCTAAAATCATTAAGGCCCGGAGAGCTGCAAGAAGTCTCAGAGAACTGAGTGAAAATACAGACAGCTGAGGTTAAGAAATACATCTATAATACACAGAACGATACCTGGCACATAGGAAATACCATGTATTTATGGTACTATGCATCAGGCTCTATGCTAGGCACACATCATGTGAAAAATAGAGAGCAATGTACTCCTTTTATCTAGATGAATGTTCTAGTAAAAGACATTCTAAAAAGGCTAAGATCGTTGAACCGTAAGATATTTTTCCCCCTTAATATCTAGTAAACCCTTAATTTTCAAGTTTACTCCAGCCAAGGAAATATTCAGTGAGATGACTCTTTCCTTTAGTCAGCCAGTAATAGTATTGCTCCCCCAGCTGCTTCAAATTTTTTATGCACATATGAAGAATGAAAATGAAAAAATAAACAAAGTAGTCTATCGATTTTCCCCATTCCTGAGATGGCTAACTGAATATGAGAGGGCTACTGAATGCCATCAGAAACAGAAATAGTGCCAGAAAGTTCTTTATGCCATGATAATCAGTGAAGACTATTTCAAATTGGACTGATTTTCAGTTAACTTAGAATACAGTTTTAGATGCAATCTGCCTTTTAATCTTGTAAAGAACATGAACAGAACAGAAAGAACATTGCCAAGGATACCAGTTTCCTGGAAGGAAAATAAACAATGTCTCAAGAAAGGTACATTCCTCCTTGTTTAAAAAAAAAAAAAAATTACTATTTTAAGTGTGAGGGCAAATGTTTACTACTTTGAGATGAGTTTTAGATTTAACAAAGCCTACTACTATATCACAGAAATGAATGGAAGGAAATACTCCAAAATGTAAACAAAGGTTACCTCTGAATGGTGAGATTATATTTTTTCTATTTTATGTTTTTCTGAGTTTTCTAAATTGCTTTATTTTCGACTTATTTTGAAAAATTTCAAACTCACACAAAAGTTTCAAGAATAGTACAACAAACATTCATATACATATATCCTTACCTAGATTAACCAATTGTTAACATTTTGCCACATATTTTTTCATTCTCTCTTGTTCTCTAAGTGTGTTTGTATACCCCACTCATACTTTTTTTGTGGAACTACTTGGGAGTAAATTGTAGACATCTTCACCCCTAAATACTTGAGTTCACTTCACCTAAGAACAAGAACATTCATTTAAATAACTACTATATATTAAATTTAGGAAATTTAACATTTATGTCTCAAAAATCTTTTTTATAGTCATTTTCCCCACTAATCTAAAATTCAAGATCAAACACTATATTTAGTTATCCAATCTCTTTAGCCTGGAATAGTTCCTCAACCTCTCTGTTTTTTGTTTGTTTGTTTGTGACACTGTTATAAAAAAAACAAAGAGCAGTAATGTAGTAGAATGTATTAAATTTGGGGCGTCTGGTTGCTTCCTTATGATCAGATTCAGTTTATGAAGTTGGCAAGAACACTACATAGAGATGCTGTGTCCTTCTCAATGCATCATCTTAGGAGGCATGTGGTATCAGTTTGTCCCAATACTGAGGATGTTAACTATGATCATCTGGTTAAACTGGTGTATGCCAGATTTCTCCAATGTAAATGTGTACTTTTCTACCTTTGCAGTTAATAAAATATTGATGAGAAGATAGTTTGAAACTGTGCAAATATCCTGTTCTTCAACAGATCTGCACCCAATGATTTTAGCATTAACTGATGATTCTTGCCAAAACAATTATTATGTATATCATGGTGATTTCCTAATTCGACAATTCCTTCTAGATTCATTGGATGACATTAATTGCAAAGAAGAGTTTTCCTTTTCCTTCCTTCATTTTATTTCTCTATTTGCATTAGTATATACTCATGAATCATTTTCTTGTTCAACAGGTTATATCCATTCCTGTCATTATTCATTTTAATACTCATATGTTCTCCCTCTGTATCTTTTTGAAATGTCCCCATTACTTTTTGAGTACATCCTTACTTTCTGGCACAGTAAGATCTCCAAGCTTATATTTACACAGCTCTGGAGTCCGCCATTTTCCCCAGGAACCCTAATTCCTTTTAGTGGCAAATGATATTTAGAAACCAAGATCAGTTGTGCTAATTGCCAGGGGTGGTGTTGTTTCTAGGCCTATACATATATGCACACATATTATACACACATCTATTTTAAAAAAAACAAAATCATGAGTCCATGCTTTTATTGCTAATTCAGTTTTTTAAGAACCTCACAGAGTTCTTCCTCTCCTTATTCCATTCCATGTTTATAGCTCCTTTCTCCTACTAGGAAAACCTACTCCCAGCAATATTTATCCATTTGTTAAACCTAAAACACACAAAACAAGTTCCAGAATTACTATACCCAAACCATTACCAGCAAAATTCAAGATTTCCTTGCCTTTATTGTTTTTAGAATATACTTCACTGATAGTATATAGTCTCAGCTGTATTTAAAAAGGTTTAATTCTCTTTTTTCCCCTACTGTGCAATTATGTTACCAACTTGATAAACATGTCTGTTTGTTCCTGTTCGTATTCAACTTTAGGGCTTTTCACATCTTTTATTTTATTTTCTTTACTTGTAAAAATGCTGTGGTACATTATATTTTTAAGAGAAGCTACTGATTCTGTGATAGTACTCTATAAAATAATACCATTTTCATGAGATCAAATGATTTAGGAGGGAAGGAACAAACACTGAGTCTCTACTACATGCTAGTTTCTTTACGTATGACATTTCATTGTCACAAAAATAACCCAACAAAGCAGTTACCATAAACTCCAATTTCAGATGCAACACTTAAGAGAGTCAGTCATTTAATAAGGCATCACAGTTGGTGAGGAAAGAGAATGGAGCGTGAACCCAGGTCTGACTCCAAAGCCCATTTATTTTTATTAACTGAGTGCTTATTAAATTGTAGGCAATGTGCTAAATTCATTTAATCCTCAAAAAAACCTTTTATTTTTATTCACCTTTTACCAATAAGGAACTTGAAATTTACACTCTCATTAGATGAATGGTTAAATTATGGTAGATCCCTATTATGGAATATTGTGTATCACTTACAAATACAATAAATCTAGTACAGTTTCATGTAAGCACCTCCAAGCCACATCATTAAATTTTAAAAAGTTATGTGGAGAATACATGTTTTTATATTATGTAATAAATAAAACCAGAAAACATAAAACCATACGTGTGTGTGTGTGTGTGTGTGTGTGTGTGTCCATATATACGGTTGATCCTCATTATTCACAGATTCCATATTTGTACATTTGCTTACTTGCTAAAATTTGTAACCCCCAAATCAGCATTTGTGCCACTTTTGTGGTCACTCACAGACATACACAGAGTGGCAAAAATCTGAGTCACCACATGTAAATATATGTTCTCAACTGAGGTCAACTAGGTAATGCTCTGCCTTCTTGTTTTAGCCCTCATACTATAAACAAGTGTCCTTTTCACAGTCTACTTGGTGTCATGTTCTTCAAATTCTGTGTTTTTTGTTGGTGACTTCACTGCTGAAAACGGCCCCCAAGCGTGGTGCTGAAGTGCTGGCTAGTGTTCCTAAGTGCAAGAAGGCTGCAATGTGCCTTATGAAGAAAATACAGGTTAGATAAGCTTCGTTCAGGAAATGAGTTATAGTGCTCTTGGTGTGAGTTCAATGTTAATGAATCAACAGTATAAATACAGAAGTAAGGTGTGTTCCTGTTGAAAGAAAGCAACATTATATTATTAATCAATTGACAAAAAGTCTGTGACAAGAGGCTTACAGGAACCTATCTCTGTATTTTCCATAGGAGCAAAGGGTCAGTATTCACCAGTTCAGTGTTATAGGTGACTTCATAGACTATTACTGTGAATAATGGGAATCAACTCTACCTGTATGTCGGTGTATAAAGATCTGCCAAATACAAGTGGTTACACTTGGAAGCAGGCAGGGACTGAGGGAAGTTGTTCAAAGAGAATCTTAATATTTTAAAAAAATGCATTAAAAATGGGTGGGGCACCAGGAAACTCATCAACAGCAACATGACTACTTAAATGGTAGAGACAGGACAAAAAAGGTTGTATTGATTTTAAATCTCATACTCCTAATTACTGTTTCTCTCATTTTCACCATACAGTGGAATGAGGAACTTATCGCTCAGAGTAGTGGAAACTGGTAAAGCTCAATGAGAGGTAAGTACAGTTAGTGATTTAGTTCTGAAGCCGAACTACTAAGGTGTGGATCCTGGATTTGCTACTCACTAGCACTATTCCTGGGCGACTTACTTTAGCCTCTCTGTGTTCCAGTTTCTTCACATATAATAGAAGGGGATCATACTAGTGCTACTTCATAGGGTTATTATGAAGATTAAGTGAGTTATTACATGTAAAGTGTTTAGAATAGTACCTGGTCCCACAGTAAGTGCTCAATAAATAATAGCTATCACTTTATCATTACTATTGTGACTGAAGACAATGACTGCTCTAAAAGAAAGTGACCTATTAGAAATATACTTTTAAAAAATTTTTTTCAAAAATTTATTTTATTTATTCATTTTTTTGGGCTGCATTGGGTCTTCATTGCTGCGCACAGGCTTTCCCTAGTTGTGGCAAGCGAGGTCTAATCTTTGTTGTGGTGTACGGGCTTCTCACTGCAGTGGCTTCTCTTGTTGCAGAGCACGGGCTTCAGCAGTTGTGGCACGTGGGCTCAGTAGTTGTGGCTTGCAGGCTCTAGAGCGCAGGCTCAGTAGTTGTGGTGCACGGGCTTAGTAGCTCTGCAGCATGTGGGATCTTCCCGGCCCAGGGCTTGAACCCGTGTCCCCTGCGTTTGCAGGTGGATTCTTAACCACTGTGCCACCAGGGAAGCCCCAGGAATATACTTTTAAGTTAACATCCTATACAGGCTAGGTAGCTTTTCCTATTTATGGTAATAAGGAAGAAATAGCAAGAATTCTCATTTTTCTCCTAGATAGAAGTTTCTTTGTGTTTACGTTTCTTATTTCTAAAATAAACTCATTATTATATAAAAATCACCTGTAAACATGTGGGCTAAAGACAGGAGGTTGAAGAAAGTCTCTTGCTGAAATCTAAGTTTGGTGGATTTAGTACACGTATAAAGGCTAAAAGGGCACCGTAGGGGTGGGATAGGGAGAGTGGGAGGGAGGGAGACGCAAGAGGGAAGAGATATGGGAACATATGTATATGTGTAACTGATTCACTTTGTTATAAAGCAGAAAGTAACACACCATTGTAAAGCAATTATACCCCAATAAAGATGTTTAAAA